TGGGCAAGAAGGAAAGAAAAGTTGATGATAGCCAAAAGGAAATGGAGAGCTAGATCATGTAGGGCCACATAGGTTCTGTCAAGAACTTGGGCTTTTCCTGAGTGGCTTAGGAGCCATGGAATCATTTTGGGTAGAGGAATGACATAATTTCACATTTGTTTCACAAGATCACTGAGACTACCATGTTGGAAATAGACCAGGGCAGCAGAGCAGAGGTTTTAGCAAGGAGGAGACTGGTCAGAGGCTAGGGCAGCAGTCCAGGAGGAACAGCTCTAGCGTGGATCCCGGTAGGGCAATGGAGGTGATAGATGGACAGGATTTGAATTCTGGATAGATTTTGATGATATCAACAGGATTTGCTGATAGTACGTGGAATGTGAGAGTGTGGTCAAGAGTAACTCCTAAGTTGTTGGCAGGTGGGCAGTTGGGTCTTTGGATCTAGAGCTCAGGGAAGCAATCCAGATTGGAGATAGACCTTTGGAAGTTGTCAGGATGTAGATGGTACTTAGCTGTGGGACTGGATTCACCAAGGGAACGTGAGTAGATAGAAAGGAGAAGAGAACCGAAAACTGAGAACTGGCACTTTCCAAGGGTAAAAGGTTGAGAAATGAAGCAGAATCAGCAAGGGATGGCGAGGAAGAGCTCATGAGACACACGGGGAAACAGGAGTCATGCGTGTGCTTGATGTGTCAGCCACTGTGTTCCGGGCAAAGATGCAAAGACAAACGTGACTCCATCTTCACTCCCTCATGGAGGAGTCAGGACTTTGCGCTCTGAAATACCACTGTGGGTGGGTCCAGGGATGGGTGTGGGATATCAGAGGCAGTGGGACCACACCTTGTTACTTCTGAGAATGACTTTACACACACACACACACACACACGTGTCAACTGTGTGTGGCTCCTCTGAGTGTTTTACTTTATCCCTTCCTTTTGTCTGTGACAGGCAATCAGTTACCAAGCCATAGAGTATCTGCCCCTCCCCTCCGTTCCTTCCAGCCTAGATGGAAGCCTCATTAAAGATCACCTACAATGTAGCAAAATCTCCTAAACATCCAGGTTCCCTCCTGTTGGCCCTCTAATTCTCCTTCTTACATCACCCTACTTCCTGGCACATTATCCCCTGCTCAAAAGTCCTACCACCTCTGGAATGAAGCCCAGTGCCTAAGCCCATTACTAAAGGCTACTTCACAGACTGACTCTGCACTGTCCACCCAGCGTTGTCTCTACTCTTCCTAGGTGGTCCTTCTGTTTCCTGGACACTCCATGTTCATGCTTAAGGCCACATGTTTGCCCATGGTAGAACCTCCCACTGGGGTGTGCCTTTCTTTGATCCCATATTTCATACCCATTTCCTCTGCAAAGCTCTCCCCCTATAGCCTGCATGGATGTCCATGTCTCCAACATCCTGTATCACTCCGAGTCTGTGTCGTTCACTTTTGTATGTAGGTATATAATGGCCATTATATACCATTATATATATAATGGTACATAATTTTACCATTTATATGGTATATATATGGTATAATTATATGCCATATTATATGGTGTGTGTGTATGTGTATATATATATATATATATATATATATATATATATATATATGGTATATATATGATACACAATTTAGTATATATACGGTATATAATTTAGTGACTGTCACTAAATACATTTATATTCACCAGTTCATTTTTTTTAAAGATTTTATCTATTTATTTGACAGACAAAGATCCCAAGTAGGCAGAGAGGCAGGTAGAGAGAGAGGAGGAAGCAGGCTCCCCTCTGAGCAGAGAGCCGATGCAGCATGATTACTTTGGGCCATGTGGAATTTGAAGTGCCTCCAGCACTTCAAAGTAGTCCTCTTAAATGGTCAGAGAGTGACTCCAGGGTCCTATCACTCTTGGAGTTTATCGGGGACTTCTTTGAAAACCATTACCAGGGCACCTGGGTGGCTCAGTGTTTAAGCCTTCGGCTCAGATCATAATCCCAGGGTCCTGGGATTGAGTCCCACATCAGGCTCCCCCTGCTCTGTGGGGAGCCTGCTTCTCCCTCCCCCTCTGCCTGCCATCCCCCTGCTTACGCTCTCGCTCTCTGTCTCTCTCTCTCTCTCTCTGTCAGATAAATAAATCTTGAAAAGAAAAGAAAAAAAAAGAAAAGAATACTATTACCAAAGCCAGTTTATCAGCTACATAAACCAGTCATGCACTGTATAGGCATAACTCTTTTGGAGGAAAAAAAAAGCGCCACTACCTTAGAATGTACATTAGTACCTATTTTTCATAAAAGAAATAAAAATATGATATTTTTGCAAAAAAGAAACCTATTCACTAGACTTACATCGTAATGAATTTTGGCTACTTCCAAAATCAAACCTTCCCTTAATGATGGAGCCCTTCAGTCCCTGGAGCTGTGGGAGAGAACATGCCTCAGACCCAAAGGATTTCCGATAGAGCAGTGTCAGAAGTCACAGCAATGTGAATGGACTGAAACACGGCCTCCCAAGGTCACCTTGCCCACCGGCTACACTCAGCCAGGTACCTTGTTCTGATGTGATGAATAAGAAACTTGTTTTATTTCTCTATTCCACAGAATTGTCCAAGAAAAGGGTATCTTCCTTCTCCCCCAAGACAGGCACAAGAGTGCAACTTTACTGTATTATCTCTGTTTGCAGAAAATCTGGGACCAAACTAAGCTTTGTAAATTTCCCACATGACTGCCGTCTAGAACCCTGGGCTTAAGTCTGCTCACATAGCTCTAGGCAGGAAGGTAAGGCCAAAAATAGGAACTGTAAAGACTCTATGGACAAAGTTTCTTAATCGACCAGCAAGATAGCCAGTCCTGAGAAGGACAGTTTATACCAGAATCAAAAACCAAGAACACACCAGAATGAAAAATTCCCCAACCAATATGCCACAGTTGGCACAGTGTCCAAGATGGAAGAACAAGTACAATTTGGTACTGCCAAGAATGCTTGTCCTCCCATCCCACAAAGGAACCAAAGGAACCCAAAGCAGGCCTGGTTACTGCCACCTGAATGGAGAACAGTTGAGGCAACACAGAAAGTAAATGCCTGGTGACTTAATTATCATCCCCATACTTCAGCTGGAGGCAAGAAGCTGATTTCATAAACCCAACAAGCAGATTGGGTCTCACCTGACCTCTGGTGCGTATATGGTCACATCCCACTCAAACAACACTGACGTCCCTCTGTACAGTGAGACACGGCTGTAGCATTATTGGGGAGCTACTCATCGGCGCAGCTACAGTGAGCATGTACAGCAAAGTGGGCTCCCTCTGACTTTCTCCTTGAGGTCATTTCCTCTTCTTCATTTCTACCAGTCATGACACACTGCAGTTAATCCCAGCAGGTTACCAGGGGCATGGAGACGAGAGAAAAGTTCTTGCAGTGGTGGGCCCACCTCCTCCCCAGGCAGCCCCGCCTTCCCTTCTCTTCCAACGGGGGCTGACTAGCACAGGGGTGCTGTGGGGACCAGCCAGCGACAGCAATTAGTGCCGCTCAGTCTCTGTGCAACGGTAAAGGATGCTGAGACCTTTTAGCCTCAACTTGACAATGCCACTCTCTCTTAAGCCATTCGTATAAAGCCCTGGAGGATCTTCTGTCACTTCATAAGAGGAAGAACTTTCTATCAAACAAGGCAGCCATGTCTTAGCTGATGAGTGGAGCATCTCATTTTTTTAAATTATTAAATTCTTCTGCAATGTCACTGAGAATCACTCCCAGTGCCAGCAGTGGGTATATGGAGAATGCATAGGCAGCCTCTGCTGACTAAACTTCTTCTTCTATTTGGGTTCAGTCCAGCTCCCTGGGGCTGTTCTGGGACCTGCAATCACACAAGACAGTCTGAGTCCTCTCCACTCTGGCTCTCTCCAGAACCAGGAGGTGGTAAAATAGAGTGCTCAAAAGCATGGACTCTGGAGGCAGATAATTCCCAGCCCCACATCTTACAATCTGTAGAACCCTTGGTGTGGGCTTTAACATATTTAAACCTCCATCCTCTTGTGTATAAAATGGAAATAGAAATTCATGTATCTTTTGGGATATTTTGAATGTTAACTGAGAAATAACATAGTTAAAGTACTTAGCACAGTGGTTGGAATAGAGCAAGTGTTCAATGAGTATCAGCTGTGATGATGATGATGATGATGATGATGATGATGATGGCGGCGATGATGGCAATGGTAGTCATGATGAGCAGAGGAGAGAGACATGAGCTAAGATCAGGAGCAGCCAGGGGGAGTAGCAAAGTATCCAGAATGATGAGTTTGCTAAGCTAAAAAATTGGACTTCCAGGCTGGACCTGAAGTCAGTAGGGTAACAGCACATTAGAGACTATGTATGCCAGCCTACGGCACAACATTTGCATTGAGATGGTTTTCAAGGTGACCATGATTTCCTTTTGTTATCAGTTTCTACATCTGTTTGCCAGGTGCTAGATTGGCCAATGACTGGAATTTTAGCAACCTTCTTTGTTGAGTAGAAATTCTACTACTATGATTTCTTGGGAAATTGGTGTAACCCTTAACTCTGCTCCTTTTGCCCTCCTTTCCACCTGATACTTCCTTCCAAGTACATCAGATTTCACCACCTCTTCCCAACAAACAAACCTTACACACACGCACACTTCCCAAGAAAGTGGTTCTTGCAATGGAATACCTCTAACCATCTGATGACAGTTCCACCATCCCAACGAGTTGATGCCTCCATGGGGCTCACAAGTGCCTCTCTGAGCTTTCTATTTCCAGTTGGACCAGCTATGACTTTATTTAACTTGTTTAGTATAGCTTTTTAATCTTTGTGTTGTTCTGATTTGTCCCTATTTAATACCAAAGCATCACAGCATAGAATTTTTCTGACCAGAATTCCCCTCTGAACTTCCCATTTTGCCCAAGTTGACCATGTTAGTAAGTGGTGAACATCTCCTCGGTTTTTTAAAAATTCATTCAGCCTCTTCTTTTCTTGTGCATCTCTTCTGCTTTGCCAGGTCAAGCTGGGAACTACCTGACTTGAGGGAAGGGAGAGTAAAAGCCATCAGTGACTCAGATGGGGTGAGCTACCCTTGGTACGGGAACACCACGGAAACTGTGACCCTGGTTGGTCCCACGAACAAGATCTCCAGGTTCTCCGTCAGCATGAATGACAACTTCTACCCAAGTGTGACATGGGCAGTGCCAGTGAGTGACAGCAATGTGCCACTGCTCACAAGGATCAAGAGGGACCAAAGTTTCACTACCTGGCTGGTGGCCATGAATACCACCACGAAGGAGAAGATCATTCTACAGACCATCAAGTGGAGGATGAGGGTGGACATTGAGGTGGACCCTCTTCAGCTCTTGGGGCAACGGGCCCGGCTGGTGGGCAGGACTCAGCAGGAGCAGCCCCGGATCCTGAGCCGGATGGAACCCATCCCCCCTAATGCACTAGTGAAACCCAATGCCAACGATGCCCAGGTCCTCATGTGGAGGCCCAAGCGAGGACCACCTCTGGTTGTGATCCCTCCTAAGTAGACGCAGACTGGCCTGACTGTGTGCAGAGCACATGGCGCTATGACATGCAGTGAGGTTGCCAGGGGTGGCAGGAGCCAAACTGAGTTTCTGAGCCAAAGCAGACCTCTTGGTTTGCCAGCCTTTGCAGCCACTTACGAAGAGCAGGCCTGCTTCTGGGGCGGCAGAACCATAATCCTTAGGAAAAGTCCCTTCCTTTTAGGAATAAAGAAATCACTGATTTGACAGACTTGCTGTGATTACCATGCAAGTAGCCATATTTCGGAGCTGACCAGGATGATTCTTTTACCTGAACTATTGACCATTTCTTTCCTGTGAGATGCAGGGGATGGAAACAAAATTAAACAGTGCCTGTGGCAAATGCTGCTTTCCAACCAATTAGAAGTGGGAGTGAAAACATCCACATCAGGTGTTTGTAAGACAGACAGTCCCACTGTCTGACTAGAGGGTGCTTGGGGAAGGGGGTGGGATGGAAGTCGGGCGGTGAAGAGAATGGGGAGAAGGAGGAACGAGTTGATACTACAAAGTAATACCTATGAATTTATTAGTAGACAATCAGATCTTCAACATACTCAGTGGAATGAAAGATACACCTAGAGAATTAGAGATGCATTGATATTCGCTCCATTCTGAAGGGGGGGGGCGGCACCTCCTGGGAACTGTCCAGAGTTCTGATGTGAATAGACAGATGGTGCCTCGATGGTTCCATCTACCCACCTCTTTCCAAAATTTGATTGTTCCGAATATCTTTTTTTTTTTTAAGATTTTAGTTCCGAATATCCTTAATCACAGTATTTGGATAGACAGTTCCTGTATTCTGCACAAGCTATGATAATTGGGGACTTCACCATGTTCTTTGGTGAAACATTAATTGTGATTTTGTTTACAGCTGCTTATCCTGTTCCCAACCAATTCTAAATTTACAAAGAGATAATTGTTTATAAACTATGGAATCCACGTAGGATTTTGAGAACATTTTAACAAATAAGAAGACTATTTTCATTCTTTTGGGGTCTTTTTAGCTTCTGAATGATGTGAACATACAGAATACATACACCTATGTACACGCCCACATGCAGGCATAAACACCAGGATGCTGACAGCCTGACCGACACAGGTGCCAGCAGGCCCTGCACATGACCTTGTAGCCCGGGACATACACTTTATATATGTTTATTTTAGCTCGAGTTCACAGAAGCTCAACTTTAACTGCATGAGCTCTTGTGAGGAAGTGCCTCATAATGCTTAGCTTCAAAGCTCTTTAATGAAAACCTGATGAGCTGCTCACATCGTACAATGGCTCAGATCCAACTAACAAGGATGAGAGAACATATTTCCTTCAGTCAGGCCACCAGCAAACATTTTAAAGAGTTTCTAGTCTTTTTTTTTTAATCTTTTTTTTTCTTAGATTTTATTTATTTATTTGACAGAGATCACAAGTAGGCAGAGAGGCAGGCAGAGAGAGAGAGAGGAGGAAGCAGGCTCCATGCTGAGCAGAGAGCCCGATGTGGGGCTCGATCCCAGGACCCTGGGATCATGACCTGAGCCAAAGCAGAGGCTTCAACCCACTAAGCCACCCAGGCGCCCCAAAGAGTTTCCAGTCTTTGCCATTTTTGGCAAAATGTCCTAGTGTACATCACCCAGAAAAGAGCCTTTCTTTTTATTCGCAGTCATGCAAATTGTGGTACACACACACATGCATACACACACACACACAAGGTTTCTTCATTTAAAATCCCCCAAGCAAAATAATTGTAAAACTGTCACAATGTCATTGTAGATTTTATGGATAGATACTGGCAGCCTAATTTCAGAGGTGAAAGAGTTGAAGTTCAGAGTAATTATTACAGTCCTATGGTTGGCTCCAATGATATCTTCTACCAGAGTTTCAGAATGAAGAGGAAAAAACAGGAGGACTTTTTCATTACTTTTATTAAAAATACAACCAAGTCTAATTTCTTTCAGGTTCTAGTCCCAGGGGATGGTGCTTATTTGCAAGAGAGGTTTAACAGATCCGCTCGAAATCCTGTAGTGTTAACCTCACACCCCAACCACCAACCACTCTCTTATAGATGAGTTATTGACGGCAAGCTGAGCTGTTTATAACAGCACATTAATGACACATCAGTGACTCACAGAAGACCTAGAGACATTCCATTTAAAAATAATTCAGTTGTTACATTTGGATTCCACTGTCCTTCCCATGCTTCCTTGTTTTTTATGGGAGCTCCAAAGAGCTCCATGGCTGAAATAAACTGCCTATTTTACACCCTGATGTCTGAAACAACAAACTGTCTCTCTGATTGAATTAGACACCACCTTTATAGAATGCCCGGACACCAATCCTGGAATCCAACCCATGCGGCCCTATGCTAAGAAAACCTGATATTTAAAAATCCAGAATTGCAACAAACAACTGGTTAACGAGAAATTGTACGTTTCCTGTACAATTGTACAAAATCCTGTACAAGATTTCATTGTACAAAATCCATTGTACAAGATCCATTGTACAAAATCCTGTACAAGATTTCTGTTTTTAAATTCCCCTCGCCCCTCCATTAAAACAAGACATGACTTCCACAATCACATTTACATTTAGTGTAACTTTTTCAAGGGCAGATCTGTAGAACGCAAGGGGCAGCATACACAGCTAGACTTGTTCCTGCTGAAAATTTGCACTTTGCAGAGTTTGAAAAGAAACAACCTGGCCAGTTTTCTGGAAAATTATGTAATAACAAAATGAGAAACATAGAGAGGAAAGTGCTTATCAAAGTTAAAAGCCCTTGGGCAAATATACATTATGATTATTGTTGTGATACTATTGCGAGCTGTGCAGTTGGTCTCTCGGTCTGGGAATGAGCCGGCAGAATGCCCTGTTGCCCTGCAGCCGATAGTGTTCAAGTTGAAGTCACTTTGCAAGGAGACAATCCCTTTTCTTTTCTGGGATCCTTCCATTGTTACCTTTCAGCTTAGTCAGGTATTGCCAAACGAAATGCTCTCCAGCAAGAGAGAAGTCACCTTGAAATCTCTATTGGGGTCACCCCATCATCCCATCAGGCTTTTCTTCCCCTGAGAGTCCCGTGAGGTCTGATGCTAGGGGCCATCAGTTTAGAGAAGCTCATTCAGGGCCTTGATCAGGTTTTAGTTGGGTGGTCTCAGGGCTATACTTGGATTCTGAACACACACATAATTGACTGGTGGCACAAGAGCTTTTAATTCCGTGTAGGAAAGAGCATTTTGTCAGGTAATAGATCTTAAATGTAGTCGCCTTTGAGATCTTTTCTTCCACAATCTCAAGGAAATTGAGGTCCAGTTGAAATAGCTCATCTATTCAGGGTCACAGACCTAATTAGCAACAGAGCCAAGAGAGAAGAGCCTGGGTCTCTCAAATGTCATAGCACAGCATGAGCACACTTACCTGAGACCCAGAGTCCCCTCCAGTGTCTGCCCCTGGACAATTCACCCTCCCAGCACTAGAGACAACTGAATTCCCCCTTTAAAAAATAGGGTGAAATCTTCATTACCATTATGTCAAAAAAAAAATGAATATTCCAGAATCCCTCTTATCCATGACAGCTGTTTGGAGACTGAACTCTTAATCTGGACCCTTTGCATCATGGATTTTGAATTCCCGGCTCAGTGCTTTGGTCCACAGCACACGGGAAGGTTGGAGGCTAGTCCTCTCGCCCCCTCCCATATCATGGGCTTTTTACAACCCCTTGTCTCCTGGTGCTAGGGATGATAGCTCATAGGGCAAAATCACGTTCTAAGCAGCAATTCTGCGCAGTAAAATAAGAGAACTGTGATTTCTAGAATATTTTACCGAAGTCTTATTCTATATGCCTCTTCTTGTCCCCAGACAGTCTTGCAGGGAGTAATTTTGTTGTTGATATTACTGTCCCCATTTTAGAGACAATAAATTGAGATCCAGATGGGCTAAGTGACTTATCCATGGGCGCACAAATGGGAAATGTCAGGAGCTAGGATTCACACTGGGCCATTTGGCTCCAAATCCCACACTAAGACACTGCACTGCACGCCCCCTCCCCCCAGGCATTCCCTGCCTGGAGGGCACCAAAGAGAAGGAAGCAAGGGAGAAAGCACGTCACTTTCCTCTCCACAGCCATGTAGTCCCTACCAGCCACTGAGTGGACATATTAAAAATAAGAGGACAAACCTTGTTTTCTTAGGCAGAGAACCTTGCAATCCCCAGGGAGACTGTCCCCAAAAATGCCTCTTAGGGACTGCAGGCTGGGGGACCGGCTGTCACTTGGCAGCTCTCAGCACAGCCCTGGTCATTAGTAGAGGAGGAAATCTGCTCTCCTGGTCTCAGAGCCCCTTCAACAGCCCATAAGCATGAAAAGAGAAGGAAAGTGTGCATCCCGCAGCTGGGGTCTTAGCTGAGCAAGACTCTGCCAGCCACCATCCCTCGATGTGGCAGAAGCAGCCCCCGGGGCAGAGGCAGTGCACACACAATGGCTCTCTGAGCTCCGGGTGGCACCTCGAACATTCTTGTTAGAACGGAGGGCACAATTAGGCATTACCAGAGTCAGCTCCCAACTGAGCTGCAAAGAAAGATGTAAACACACACACACACACACACACACACACACACACACACGGACCCACTACACTCTCACACTCCTCAAGCTGAAAAGAAAATTAATCAAAAACCCAATGAACGCCTGAACTCTATAATTAAGCCTAAATGATCCTCAGATAGAAGGGAGCTGAGTGAGCAAGCTCAGTGCACATGGATATTTTTACCCCAGAGTCTTATTGCCATTAATTTCTTTTGAGATCTTGAGTACATCTGGTTCCAGTTTCCCAATAGGACATCTGCCTCTAGAAGGCCTGCGGGGGACTTGCCAGCTCAGTGGCCAGAGGACAGCCAAGGTTATCTGGCCATCCTCAGACACTTTTATGGGAATGCGTCTGGGGAGCTGAGGGCCGTGGCTGTGCTCTCCCACCACCCCCCACCCCTGCCCATGGATCCCACCGCTAACCTCATCCGTGCTAACCATTCCTTCCGGCCGTACCATGCTTCACAGTTAACAAGGGGTTTTTACTGTCCTTTATGTAGAGCTCTGTGGAAGACAGGAAATCTTAGTACTGGCCTAATCTTTCTATCTTCGTATCAACAACAACTCCCATTTGGTTAGTATGTTATACTTGACACTGCACAGTTACAGAGATTCTGTCATTTTGTTCTTGATGATCCTGGAAGAGCTGCCCTATGTCCCCATTTTACGGCTGAAGGATTTGAGGAGAAAGGTCAAGCGACCTGTCCAAGGTCACTTGAATGTTAGTCGTGCGCGGAGGATTTGGGCTTCCGTCTTCTGGCTGCACGCCTGCACTCCATTCTCACGGAACATTCTCTCCTCATTCAGTGCCAGTATTGCTGTCTGTCCGTCCGGCCGCTGCTCTTCCCCGGGCGGGGCTGACTGACTAGGAGAGGGTGTCTGCAGGAATGCAGGCGTTCATCCTTTTTGATTGGTCCCTGGATGTGGTTTGACAAGACAGAGTCAGCTCTCCTGAAGAGTCTGGGTTCAACTGTCCCAGGCTCCGTGCCTTCAGGTGATTTCTCTCCTACTCCTCACTGGAAGGGAGGCCTGTTTGGGGGCTCTGAAGTTGGAGGCCAGAGCCAAGGCCCTCAGCGTGACTCGAGATCCAGCTGGTGAACTAGACCTTCAGCAAATCATTTAATTCACCCGGCCTTCCATTTCCTCTGCTGTTAACTGAGCCACTAATACAACCCAGCCAACATCACAGTCGTTGTGAGGCGCTGTCACATTGGTAGAATCCCAGGGCCCAGAGCTAAATGCACGATCTCAAGTTCCACCTCCTGGGAAGCCCAAAACCATTTCAGGGAAACCGACTCTGCCCGCCAAGCCAGCCCGCCTTCAGTGGAGGGTGGTGGGCTTTTAGCACCCCCCACCCCACCCGCAAACACCTTGCTGGAGAGGCCTGGACCCTGGCAGTCAGGAAGAGAAAGGAGACTACTATGAAGCCCTATAGAAAGCAACAGTGAGCAGAATTCGTAGCTGCAACTCCAACAAGCCTTTTGGGAAGGAAAGGGGCTGAACATCAGATCTGGGCCAGACTTGAAATCCCAGCACACGTTGCTTGGTTTAAGCCACCTAGAGGAGCCAGCCAGGGACAGAAGCACTCTTCCTGTTGTGAGCTCAGGCAAGAGATACAGAGGTGGAAAATTATGATAATAATAATTTTACACACACACACACACACACACACACACACCTGTATCAGTGGGTTTCCACTGATACAGAGGTAGAAAATAATTATATATATACTGTTGGGAGTGAGGCTCTCCCACCGTCCTGTCTCTACACAGTTTCTGATGCCCCAGATCTTGGCTAGGACTCCACGGTTTGAAGGCTGCACTACAGATTGGGTTCTGAGGGTACACATGAAAGAAGGATATACTTCTTCAAATGTTCTACCCCTCAGGCCGTCCCACCGCCGGGCAGCCATATTTGGTTATGGCCCCTCTCTCTGCCCAGCGTGCCCGAGGTGGCCCTATTCCACATGGCCCCACCTGCGCCGGCCACACGGCTTGCCTCAGGACAGCTTCCCAAGGCCCCCTGGCCCCACCGGGACCCAGCACCACAGGCCCTCTGAGGAGAGAGGTACTCTTGCCCAACTGGGGAGTGGTCCTGAAGAGAACCGACCCGCTCTTCTCACCAGGATAAGTGTGAAGCCAGGCCTCTGGGCAGCAGGCCACAGGGCCACATGCAGGAGCCTGTCCTCCACCTCCAGGCTCCCAGTGGTCCTTAGCTAACCCAGAACACGTGGCTTAGTCCTTCAAGCAGCTGAGTGTGGGTCAGAAATGCCTGAGGGAAGGGAAAATAGATGCTAGCATGACAGCCCTGAGGGGAGAAGGCCGAGACCCAGAGCAGTGGCCCAGCTGCGCTCGGACATCCCTGGGGACCATGGCGCGCGGGCGGTGCGTGTGAAGCATTCAAACAGCAAGACGGCTGCTTGGGCAGCTGGTCTCAGGCTGGCCCAGGAGCCCCCAGGGCTCTGGGAACAGGGAGGAGACAGGAAGGAGGACAGAGTAGTTGGCCTCAGGCCAGGCCCAGGAAAAGGCTGAGCCAACCAAGGCACCCAGGGTGCAAAAACTTCAGAAGGCCCTAGATGCGTGTTTGTGCAAACACCGACACTGCCTTGCTGAGAGGGAGGACCCCACGGTGTCTGCCCGGGACGCCTGGCTTCCCTCAGCCCGCTCCCAGCCCTGCTCTGGCGTCGTCTACGTGCTGCCTTCTTCACAGGAAGGGAGGCTGGGGGGCGGCTGCTGTGAGATCCCCCAGGATACTCATTCTTCCAGCAAGTGTTTATTCGGAGCCGCTACTATGTGCCAGACTAAACAGAGGCCCTGCCCAGGGGGAGAGACGAGGCTCACAGGAAGCTCTGGGCACCATTCGTCCCCTCTGGCGCCACGAGTCACCCCAGTTTAGTGAGCGCTCCCTCGGCCTGCCTGGGAGGGGAAGACGCCTCTCCCGCCTGAGGACTTGGCGAGGACAGGTGAGGTGACAAGCCGCATTCCGTCGTCGCATTGTGTGATCTCTTCCAAGGAAAGCATCAGGGAGAGCCGACAGCCGCATCCATACCTCCGCGGGCTCTGGCGACGGGAGAAACAGCTGGTTATCTCTCCGTCTGCTCTTGTCCCTCACCCCACCCTCCAAACCAATTAGAATATTCCACACAGACACGATCCAATGAAATGTTAATTGGAAAAATAACAGGAAAGATAATGCATGCACTTCAGGCTGAGAACTATTTCATTAAACTGAGCTTTGAAAGCAAGACAGCCAATTAAATTATTTCCCACTTCACTCCCTCACGTACCAGAAACTATAGAAAGCGATTACTTCTAATTAATTAGGAAAGAAAGAAGGGCCCTGCGCAGGCATATCAGATGAACGGGGACCGAGGCTCTATGCCACCCCGCCCTCCCTGTGCAGTGCATGTGTGCATACAGTGCATACACACACACACGTAGGTGCACACGCATGCATACACACACGCCTCCGGGAGGAAGACTCGTCTGCTCTCTGACCTGAAGAATTCCATGGGTCTTCTGAAAACAGCACAAAAAACACCTGCTCCCAAGAGTCACTCACAAAATCAAACAAAGAAAAACACCTTCTCTGGGCACTTTCATCAGAAGGGAGAGAGGGCCTTTGTTGTGAGAGAACATGCAGCTCGAAACTCAGCTGGAGTCCAGACTTTTCACAGCACAGAACGATCTTGTCTCTGGGAAAGAAGCAGGCACTTCCCAAGCCAGCTCCCTCTTTCAAATGCTCGGGAAGGTGCCAGGGACCGGGAGACCCGTAACATGCGGTCTCATGCGAGGCATCTTCATGTTTCCATCTGTGAAGCGGGAAGAAGGCCTGTTCTCAGGGCCGCAGTCACCACCCCCCTCAAAGTTCTTAAGGCTGTGAGAACATACTGGCAGAGTTTCCTTGGGGAAACAGAGCAACAAAATTCAACCATGCAGTTAAAATATTTCCTGTACAAAAATTACACTAATCCAAAGGTACCCTTATTGTAGAGCAAGTCGAACACAGTTAACATAACATGAACATTGTAATAAGGAATGGAATGGTCCTATAAAGCAGTCGTCACCAGGATGTGACTTTTGCACACAGGCTTCTCTCCAGTGTGGTCTATGAGCAGCACACAGCTCTGAGGTTGTCTCAAGGCTTCTGCCTACCTGTGCCTGCCTCATGTCCCATCTTCTGCCGTCATCCCCCACGTCTGTCATTGTGCGCCATGCAAGATATCAAGGGACGGCAGAGCCTAGCCCCATCGGTGCCCCTCACTTACTGAAGGACGAGGAACGGGCACTGTAGACGGTAGAGCACAGCAGCTAGTCTAGAGTCTAGGAATAGTTTCTAGAATGGCTTATCGGCTATTAATGGCTTATAGGCTATTGTACATATAATGAGGTTGTTCGCAAACTTCAAACAACTACAACAAGTTGATTTGACAACCTCTGTAAGAACTGGGGTTTTGTTTTCTTCCTGAAATTGAAACCATGCATACATTCTGAAAATGCAGCCGTGTTCATTTGTTTTCAGAAAAACTTGCTCTGCCGTTACAGCTTCGCATCCCTGTGAGCAAAAGCAGTGTATCAAAAATCCAAAGACACAAAGCAGAAGAAATGATTAGGGAATAAAGAGGAGGAGGCCTGGTGCTTGGATTTGCCTCGGGGCAACTCCTCCTTCCATGCATTCAAAAATATTCTTTTTATTTGAAAGACTCAGCTCGCCCCTTACTACTCGCTAGGTCTTCAGGACCACAATGATTACATAGAGGGATACACACAAATACCCTTCCCCACACAAAAATAGTGGTAGCCAATTGTCTTCAAAAGGAAAATGGACTGACAACTTCAACTGAGTAGTGTAGACCTACACTCAACAAATTTTAGTGCATTTGGAGCATTCACCCAGGCACAGATATATGGGGTAAGCCACAGGGTTTTGGTAAATCAGCAAGTCTTACAAATCTCCTAGTGCCTTGATGCTGAGAATCAAGGCCATGGGGTTGGGTTGGGGATGGGGGTTCTGGAATTCCCACCCATTTTTTTAGATCCCTGTGTGGCTTGCTGGTGGGTCACACCTATGTGTCATCTGGAATCCCTTAATATTATTTTAGTTTTTAATCATTTTTAAGACCCACATAAAAGCTATAGGCCATCTTTACTGAGAAATGCATATGTAAAGAAGTCCCAATAACTTTACATAAAATTCCAGGGTCGTCGTCCCCTTGAAATCTATTTATAAAGCCCAGATTATAAACACCTGCTTTTAAGGAATGACACTCTTTGGTCACTGTCTTAATGCCCATCTTACTTACATGTTTCCATGTCCACATACAGGTCACCTAGTAGGACAAGGCACGTCCAGCAAGCAGAACCACATGGCAGAAACTAAAGAGGAGGAAGTGAGCCATGGCTGGTGGTTCTAGAAGCGGAAGACCTGGACAGCTGATTTCCCATTAAAACGAGTGCCATTCTAACTATCTCCTAGCCATCCTCCCACCCCATGACCTGTAGCCCCTCCTACCCCACGACGGGTCATGCAGCACTCCCCATGGACTGGCTGGGCTGGCTGCTTGGCCCTCAGTGGGCTGCGCTGAAGTGGGAGCTGTGCCTGCTGTATCTTTGTGTGTGAAAAGATTGGGTCCATCCAGATCTCAAGTCCATCCCTGACCCTCTGAGTGAAGCTGCCCAGGGAGAAAGAGCTGGTCAACCTGGACTTCAGACACCTAACATGGCCCAGCCCTGGTTTCCAAACTCTTGCCTTCCTTCCCTACGCTTTTGGGTGGGAAACAGCGGGAAGGCGTATCTCCCCTTTTCCTCCCTTCTCCACGTTGGGGGGCCAATATGGATACTCTTCTCGAGATTTCTCTGATCCTTGGAGCTAGGGCCAAAGCAGTCCTGCTTCCCCGGCATGACCAGGCTGGGTGTCTTCAGGGGACCAAGGGCAAAGTGCATGTCAGCAGGATTGATGGGGAGAGGGGAGAGCCACCCTAAGAGGGCAAAAACGGTGTGCATTGTTTTATTTATTGGTTTATTGATTGGCTTGCTTTCTGGTTGATTCATTTAGGAAATATGTATTTATTATACAGCAGAAAACCCACTTCCATCTTTGAGGCATCCAGCCCCAGAATCTATCTTCTTGGCCCCATAGAGCACAGTGAGTGACTCCTCTCTGAAGCCACAGAAAAAAGGGGGCGGGATTCTCTCTCTGTACCCAAACACTTCCACCCCAACCCGATTTTCAGCCAGAAGAGGGGTTAGAAACCACCAGTTCTAGTCATGATAAAGCCACACAAATCAGCAAACAGAGGGTCAGCTGTCCAAGTAGAAGCTCCCAGCAGCCCATCCCCTCTCCCCGGCCCTCTATGCATTGTGGGGGGGCATCTCGGATCTAGACTTCTCCTTCTGCTCTGGGGCCACCTTCCAAAGGCCACATGCACATGAGAGATGCCTGAGGAGTTTAAAAATCATCCATACCCTGTCCCCTCCCCAACTCATTACAGCAGAATCTGGGGCTAGAGCCTAGACGTGGGCATTTTTAAAAGTACCCTGTATGATCCTAATGTGAAGCTAGGCTTGGGAAGCGCTTCTAGTGTTTTTTCCCTTCATCCCTCCCGTCCATTCACATCCTTTATCCTCTACTTCCGGAACTTTCTGCCTCACCAAGAATGGGAGCGGCCACTGGGGAATGAGAACTCTCTTCCCACTTCTCCAGCCCCTCCTCCTCACTCAACCTACCCATCAGGTCAACCAGCCTGAGTAGATCCCCAGAGAGTTGGCAGGTCCCAGCATTTTGCACCCCAAGGCTGGTGCCTGCACCCAGCCCAGGGGCTCTCAAACCGTGCCCAGCTTTCCTAGGAACAAAACCTACTCCCCGCCAGATTCTCTCTCCACCTGCCCTGCACTCCCCAACTCCAGAGGTTTAAAGAGCACTTTGGTGACTCCGAATCCCAATCCTGATGGGAAGGCCTGTGCCGAGTGCTGTTAACGCCGGCCATTTCTGCAGAGCCGCCTGAAGTGAATGAGGGCGACGGTGACAGAGAAAGGAGTCTCATCACCCCGAGCCAGTCCTTCCCCCAACAACTGCGCGGCATCCAAATCCCAAACGGCTGAGAAGCGACATCTCCCCCTTCGCACTTACAAGCTCTCCATTGCTGAGTGTGAGTGAATGCGTGTGTGAATGTGTGCATGTGTGTAATGTTCATGTGCTGCACAAAACCATCAAGATCTATAGAGATGTGCCATGTTTACAGTGGGCCCAGATGAATTCCGTATTAGATATATACACCAGAATTCTGTATTAGGTATAAACAAACTGTTTTACACACACACACACACACACACACAGCCTAGGGAAACCTGGGATGTGGGAAGAGGTGTTTTTTAGTACTCGATCTCCCTCATCTGGGTAATTTCCTGGCGCGAGTACTAGTCCACACACACCCTCCGCTGCCCAGCCTGTCCCCTCCTGTGTTTCATACCACCAAGCCTTCGTTCCCCCATTCCCCATTAGTCAGAATGTCCCTGCCCTACGTCCCATCTCTCAGGGTCCTCCTCTCTGACAGGTGACAGACGGTTCAGTCGGTGGGTGCTAAAGAGTTGAGTGTTACCCCTTCCAGGTGACATTTGTGTTTTAATTGGGGCTACAGATAATGCCTTAATCCGAAGGAGAGGCTCTCATGGTGGGCATCTCAGGCACAGCAGTGGGCCAGTAAGGGAGATTATTTTTTATCAGGGGAGCTTTTTAGAGCACCCCCCAACCCTACCTATCTCTAAGATCAATACTTCATAAGTACATGAGCACAAGAAAGGACACTGACCTAAGTACAATTTCCAGAATGTTGACACACCTCCCTTATGTTGGCCCGAACTTTGCAAGTGAAAAAAATTAGAAGAAGGAACAGCTAAATTAATTGAAACCTCACTGGGAAATGTAGCCTATATTTCACTGGCTGCCAGCCCCCTGGCCCCATCTCCCTTCTGCTCCTTCTCTTTTCTGCGACCACCCCCATACGTTAATTTACTCAAAAGTTTCCTCTCTGTGTCCCCCTCCCCCTTCCCCTCCAACAAATGTATTTCCTTCCCTGTTTCCCGTTTGGAATTGTGCTGTTTTTCCGTGTTGTCTGGACAAAGAGCAGGTGAAAAGCATGAGCATGTGTGTATCGCTTGGAAGAAAGAGAAACCAGGTATTCTGCTGCAGTTTGGAGAAAAAGCCACCGGAGGAAGAGACGAAAGTTGGCTCTGCAGAGTGCCTTAAAAATGACTTTAATTAGGAAATTCTGAGTCGTCAGTCTTTGGATGTTACATAAACTCAAACAGATGTTGCATTTCACTTCTCTGGGATTAAAAAAAGTTAAATACAGTATGTATTCAACAACAAAGTATCTTCTCTCTTTAATTTGGTCATTAAAGATGCAGCGGCTGGGTTTTTTTTAAAAAGCCTCAGGGAGGCCTCAGAACAAGTAGCTCTGGGACGTAGGGAGGGCAGATGCAAGGGTCCTGCCCACTAGGACGACTGGTGGGCTAAGGCCAACTGAGTGCTGCGAAACTGGGGAAAGGAGAACATTCTAGAAATCCAGAGGGAAACCTTGCCTTTCATCCCCTCCTCACCACTACTCCTCTCTAGGGCACCCTTTGGCCAGTTTCTGCTTTGCCTTTGCTAAATGATTTTCCCTTAGTTCAACACTTGCCTCCTGGATTCTACTAAAACAAGGTAACGTGAAGAGTCTGAGCTCCCAAAGGCAGTTAAGGCTTCTGGGGTATTGCCTTCTCTCCCTCGAGTCACAGTTTTTAATAGACCTAGCTCGGCGACAGTGGGAAGCGTAGTTGGGATGGAGATCGTGGTGTGCATGTGGGTTCAGAACACTCTGCAGGCAGGAAGGAATTGAGGAGCACAGCCCTCCGACCCCGGCCGGCCACACCACCCCCCAGCCTGCCTCTCCCGCATCCTCCTTGCCCTGCTCTTCTGCCAAAAGCCAGCACCTGGCTGGCAAGTGCTTGGCGTCATCAGGCTGACAGCCGTTCTTTCTACTGGACCTTTTATTCAGAGCTATCATGGTTGTTTGCCACAAGAGATGGGACCCTTCTGGGGGTGCCAGAGGGGCTCAGTCGTTAAGCATCTGCCTTCGGCTCTGGTCATGATCCCAAGGTCCTGGGATCGAGCCCCGCATCGGGCTCTCTGCTCAATGGGAAGCCTGCTTCTCCTTCTCCCGCTCCCCCTGCTTGTGTTCCCTCTCTCGCTGTTTGTCTCTCTGTGTCAAAAAAATAAATACTTTTTAAAAAAGAGAGAGAGAGGGGACCCTTCTGAGGGACCAGCAGTTTTGAGAGGACTAGGAGTCAAAATTCATATTTGTTCTCTCTTTCATTCTCTCTCTCTCTCTCTCTCTCTCTCTCTCACACACACACACACACACACACACACACACACACACACACACATATTCAAAAGAGGAAAAGCAAGGAGACCTGGATACTCAAAGAATGGTAAATAGTGGTTTCCACTAGTGAAAAAAAAATTTTGTCTATCATGCATCTCCTGGGGCAATGGGGGGGTACATTTTTAAGCATAAGTATTTATAACTAGGACACTCCCCCCAAGTGAGCCACACAGGACATGAGCGATTCTGGGGAAGCAGCCTTAAAGGCACATTTCAGAAAAGGGATTTCTGCTCTTCTCCATTAAAAAGCATAATCCCCCATAAATAAATAAATAAATAAATAAATAGCATAGTCTGAAGTACATCCTGTGAGAAAGGGCAATTAGCATATTTTTCCTAATTCTTTTAAGAAATAAACAATGCCTGGCAATGGCTGAACACACCACGTGTACGTGTGTGTGTGTGTGTGTGTGTGTACACGTATAAAGCTCAAATATACGAATGAGGGTTGGGAACATAGTGACAGTTGAGGCAAACTTGAAAATAAGTGGCATTTCTTTTTCACTAAAAGAAACTGTAAAATTCTATATTAAACTATAATGGTTTAGGAAAGGAAATGATGATCAATGATGTATTTTAATACACACACACACACACACAGAAACAGACACACACTTAGAGAAGAAATGTGGGAGAACAAAGATAATATTCCAACAAAAACTATATATTTATTGTCAACTATGTGAAGAAATGGTACCACCTGCCTAATCAACTTATGGTACAAATAGGGTCACATTTCTTTTATTTTTCAAATTAATTACCTGAATTTTCTTAGGCCCTGTTAACAGAGGGTTCAGTGACCCCTTCTTGGGGCTTCTCAGCCCACCCACTCCTAATTTCTCAGGAACCCTGTGTCCCAAACTCATCCCAAAGAGAGCCAAAACTCCAAACAGGAAGAACACGGCCATGCTGACCCATTCCTGCCTTCCCTTGCCACCCCATTAGCTGACGGAAGGTGCCCAGGACACAAGTTCTCACCCCGGTACGGCTTTGGACACCATACTTTGCTCAGTCACTGTTCTCAAAGAAAAATGATGCCAAGAGTGCTGGGACCAGAGGCCCTTCTAAAATCCATCTCATGTTGAGCTGAAACCACCTTCCTTGCAAATTTCTCAGCCTCTATGTTGCACCCAGTTCAACAACCTAACGCCCTGTCCCACCCCCGCCAAGCACTCTGTCTGCTCTGAGCCCAGGTATGGGTCCTTTGGAGATCCCCACGAGTGTCCCAACTTCAAACCTGGGGAAGGGAAATTGGTTCTCATTCCCTATCTTACAGAAAGGCCCGGGTTTCCTCAGCCAGCTGATCAACTTCCGGTCATGCCCCCTCCCTGAAGCCCCTATTTGCGTAAGTAAGGAGACCACCAGCGTGGTCTGAAGAGCAAGAGATTTATTATTTCAACCAATACTCATTAAGTGGCCAGCATGAACCAGGCACTATTCTAGATGCTGAGCAATCCTCAGGATTACACAGAAAAAAAACAACCCTCCCGGAACTGCCATCCTAGAGGAGGGAGAGAGATGTAATAGACATAATGAATAAGGAAATTACATGTTATGTGGTGCGAGGTTCAATGGGAGGGGAAAAGAACAGAGAAGGGGGATCAAGAGTTCAGGAAGATCAGCCTCCGGGTGCTTTTCTGTCTGGGCCACATGCCACGAAGCAGCTGCCAATCACATTTACTAATAACAATAGTAATTATGACCTCTCCCACTTAACCTATGCGTCAGGAGGCGTCCCGGGCCAGGGAAGGCTCAAGATCTACACTTCACACATTCCAGCGCAGTCTCAGGTTGACTGTCTCCTATCTCAGCAACTCATAGGGCCTTCACTGACTGCTGCTGAGAAAGCTGAAGTGGCCTCTGAGGGCCACATGGGTCCTAAGCGTCAGGGTGACGATTCCAAGGACACTGTCCTCGTGCCTTGTGTGATGTTCCCGACGCACGCAGAAACAGCACAAGACATGAAGCCAGAGGATTCAAAACTGAGACCCAACATTGCCTCTTACTAGGTGTACGGAACCTCGGAATGTTCCCTGCAAACAGAAGATAAGACTGGATGTGAAATTACATCATAAATCAGAAGGCCTGGGACAAATGACACTTTTGGGCAACTCCGCGGGCTGCCTCAACACTCTACGTACCTACTATTGGTGTGATTCATTAAGTAAATAAATATAATTAAAAGGGGTTATTTTTATAGCATGCTGTGCACAGCTCCCAAAGCAATCCTTACTCAAGTTGGAAAAATTAAAACAGTATATATTTTCTGTCTGTAAACTAATTATCTGATTCCAGTTGGATTCAGAGCAAGCCCACCTGTAGGTGTTCCATGAAAGCATGTGAGTGACTACACAGAATGTGTTGAAGCAGCGCCGGGACACGGTCCCTGCCAGGAGCTTCTGAGTACCCTGTGTGGAGGAAAGGACATTCGTGTGATAGATCCCAGGGGTGTGGGTGTGGCGATGAACAGCCAGTTGGATGTATGTCCCATCGCAGGCCTCTGGCTTCCCTCTGTTATCTCAGCCACTGGAGAATGTCCACCACAGAGATGAAAGCAAAGGTCACACTGGCCTGGAAGGCAGCTGGTCCTGAGCCCATCACTCTGAGCTAGGAAGTAAGACTGAATTCACCTTCTGGGAAAGTATAGAAGATAAAAACCATTGGCAGGAAGGCGTTACATACTGAGCGTGTCCCCCAGAATGCATATGTTGAATGCATATCACCCAAAGGAATGGTATTTGGAGACTGGGAGGTAAGTAGGTTGGGGGGGGGATTTTAGTCTTGGAGAGGAGATCAGGTCATGGATGAGGTCATGGGGAAGGAGCTTCCATGGTGGGCGTGGTGCCCTTATAAAGTGATGGAAAGACCCCAGGTCACTCTCTTGGACATGCTCTCTTGCATGCTCTCTCTCTCTCTCTTTCTCCCCCATGTGAGGAAACCAGGAAGAACTCCCTCACTAGAAGCACACCATCCGACCTCCCTGATCTTGGACTTCCAGCCTCTAGAACTATGAGAAGGAAATGTCTGTTGGTGAAGCAAGCCAGTTTATGGTGTTCTCCTAGCAGTCCAAACTAAGACAAGAGGCATACTCTCTTTTCTGAAATGGTTCGTAGAGCTGCCAGATGTCGCCTGCTCTCCTCTCCCCACGGTCAGGGTCAGAAACTTTAGAACAATAAGGGAAGACAGCAGGTGGCCTTTTCAGCCATCCTCCCAGCCATACCTCCCAGCAGAAGTATCCCTTCCCTGCTTCTGCAGTTGCTCACTGTCGAGATTCCAAGGAAGTGGGACAAAACCACCCAAAGCACAAAGATACCAGATAAGCCCAGGGTCAACATGAAGGAAGCCGCAAGTCTCCTTTTCATGAGGAAGGACAGAGAATGAACCGAGATGGAAGATGAAAGAAACTCCAAAAGAAGCAAGAATCGGGTGGGAGATGCTGGAATCTCGATGCTCGTAGTTTCTAAACGAAAAAGTCATGTGCACAGCCTGGAAAAGACACAAAACAGTTTAATAGACTCCAACCACAAATCCTGGAGCTGGTCTGTGTCTGCACCCGGCAGCGTGGTCTGAACGCAGCAACTGTTCCGTCTGGCGAGATTATCTACATTGAGGATGATGGGAACCAATTATTTTCCTATCACCGAGCAAAGACAGAGAGAAACGGGTTCCAGCCGAAGCTGTAGGGATCTTTTGTTAAGATTCTGAGAGAGTGAAAAATGGTCTTCAGTGGGGGCTGTTCTGCCCTTCCTAGCGCGCCTCTCCCCCCACCCCCACCAAACAGAGGTGTCCGCAAGGCAGCAGCAAGAGCAGCAGGCAGGAGAATCTGCCCCTGGGCGCTTCTGAGTTGACCT